GATTCTTACAATTAAGAATTTTTTTATTTGCTGCTAGGAATCTTTATAGCCCCTTAGGAATCTTGATGATATTGTCGTTTCCTAGATATTAATGTCCTAATAACAAGGGTACAATTTTCGTCTTTTGCTTCCTCATAAGAATGCAAAAATTCCTTTTCTTTTTTAAAATCATTTATTTTTTATACTTGTGTATTCAAAATTGTTAATTGCAAATATGATCGAACATCAAATTTTAAAGATGTGAGGCTAAAACCAAGATTTGGAGGAACCGAGAGGAACTTATTGTTAGAATTAGACTAAACTAGTTTAAAGTGAATGATAATCTCCTGGTGGATTTAAGTCTCTCCCCCGAAATGCCTTCGGACTAAAGTTTCTAAATTTTGATCGTCTTGCAAGTTAGTAATTCTCTCACTAAGCTAAGTTCAGGATCAAGAAATGGAGAAATGGGAATGTTAAGAATGTCACCTTCATGTGCTGTTATATAGATTGAGAAATATTCATACCAGAATTCATAATTATATGCGGCAGAATAAATATAGTATAAGTAAAGTAGCTCTTCAAGTCTGCTGTAAGCCTTTGAACAAAATTTAAAACTGAAATAGTAATTTTTTGCTAGTAAAATAGTGGGGATTCGTTTACTAACTTAATTAGTAACGAATTTGATTAATTTTTAGTAGGACGCTACTAATTTTTAGTAAAAAAAACTACTTATTGCTAGTAGTAAACTATTAATTTTTAGTAGTAAATTACTTATTTCTAGAAATAAATTACTAATTTCTAGTAGTAGAATACTAATATCTAGTAGTAAACTCAGGGTGTCTAACGGTCAGGGAAGTTAGGGAAGTCAGGAAAAAGTCAGGGAGTTTTTTTGGTCAGGGAGAAATCAGGGAATGTCAGAAAATTTCATTGAAAGCCAGGTAAATTTCTAAAAAAATTTGTGAGTAAAAATTTTTTTTAATCTAATAAAACTTTGAAGACTTTTACTATCGTTTCTTTCTATGATAAAATTTACAAAAATTCGGTTTTTTGAATAATTTTAAATATTTAATAATTTTAAATTTTTTACCAAAGGGTGAAGACTATTCAATAAGTAAAGTGTTTTTAAAGAGCCCAAAAATAGTAAAGCTAAATGCCATAAAAGAGAAGAAAAAATGATGAATTTTAAGAAATTCAGTTTTTCGAATTTTTGATAATTTTTAATAATTTCAAATTTTTTACCAAACGTTAAAGACTATTAAATAAGTAAAGTGTTTTTGAAAAGCCCAAAAATAATGAAGCTAAATGCCATAAAAAGAAGAAAAAAATGTTGAACTTTTAGAAATTCGGTTTTTCGCTTTTATGATAATTTTTAATAATTTCAAATTTTTTACCAAAGGGTGAAGAGTATTAAATAACTAAAGTATTTTTTAAGAGCCAAAAAATAGTGATGCTTAATGACATAAAAGAGAAGAAAAAATCGTTTGTTTCTATCATATAACTAAACTACTATTTTCTAGTAGTAAAATACTAATATCTAGTAGTAAAATACTAAAATCTAGTAATATTACTACTATCTAGTAATATTACTACTATCTAGAAATATTACTAGATTTCTAGTAGTAAACTACTATTTTCTAGTAGTAAACCAAGAATCTCTAGTATCATAGTACTAATTTTTTAGTAGTAAAGTACTAATTTTTAGTAGTTAAGTACTAATATTGTCTAGTAAAGTACCGATTTCTAGTAGTAAACTTCTATTTTCTAGTAGTAAACTACTATTTTTCCAGTAGTAAATTAATATTTTTTAGTATTAAACTACAATTTCCTAGTAGTAAACTGCTATAAAATTACTATTTTCTAGTGTTAAACCACTATTTTCTAGTAGGAAACTACCATTTTTCCAGTATTAAATTACTATTTTTTAGTATGAAGCTACTATTCCCTAATAGTAAACTACTATTAAATTACCATTTTCCATTATTAAAATACTATTTTCTAGTATTAAACTACTATTTCCTAGCAGTAAACTACTATTTTCTAGTATTAAAGTACTATTTTTAGTATAAAACTACTATTCCCTAGTAATAAACTACTATTTAATTACTTTTTTCTAGTATTAAACCACTATTTTCTAGTAGGAAACTACTATTTTCCAGTATTAAAGTACTATATTTTTAGTATAAAACTACTATTCCCTAGTAATAAACTACTATTAAACGGGACGCATGATTATTCCCCAAATGTCATTTTTCCGAAATGTCATTTTACCGAACTGCACTTTTGCGAATAGTCATTTTTGCGAAAAGCCAATTTTGCGAAATGTCATTTTTGCGAATTGCCACTTTTGCGAATTGTTATTTTTGCAAATTGTCATTTTTGCGAATTGACATTTTTACGAATTGTCAATTTTCCGAAAAGTCATTTTTGCGAATCGACATTTTTTCGAATTGTCAAATTTCCGAAAAGTCATTTTTGCGAATTGTCATTTTTGCGAAAAATACAATAGAAAACTTGTAGGTCTATAAATTCACTATTGTATTTTTCGCAAAAATGACAATTCGCTAAAATGACTTTTCGAAAAATTGACAATTCGTAAAAATGGCGATTCGCAAAAATGACTTTTCGGAAAATTGACAATTCGTAAAAATGTCGATTCGCAAAAATAGCTTTTCGCAAAAATTACAATTCGTAAAAATAACTTTTCGCAAAAATGACTATTCGCAAAAATGACAATTCGTAAAAATGGCGATTCGTAAAAATAGCGATTCGCAAAAGTGACAATTCGCAAAAATGACATTTCTTAAAAATGACAATTCGCAAAAATGACAATTCGTAAAAATGACTTTTCGCAAAAATGTCTTTTCGCAAAAATGACATTTCACAAAAATGTCTTTTCGTAAAAATGACAATTCGCAAAAATGACTTCGGAAAATTGACAATTCGTAAAAATGTCGATTCGCAAAAATGACAATTCGCAAAAGTGACATTTCGCAAAATTGGCTTTTCGCAAAAATGAGTATTCGCAAAAGTGCAGTTCGGTAAAATGACATTTTGGAAAAATGATATTTGGGGAATAATCATGCGCCCCCTATTAAACTTCTTTTTTATAGTACTAAACTTCTATTTTATAGTATTAAGCTACTATTTGATAGCATTAAACTACTATTTTCTTGCAGTAAACTACTATTTTCCAGTAGTAAATTAATATTTTCCAGTAGTAAACTATTATTTTCTAGTAATAAATTACTAATTGTTAGTAGAAAACTACTAATTCATGTAGTAAGTCTTCTAACTAATTTGAAATTTTAAAAAATACGAATTAGTAGTTTTCTACCAGCAATTAGTAGTTTTTTTAAACTAAAAATGAGTTAAAATTGTTTTTAATTGAGGTAGTAAACGAATTCGCGTTTTTACCTTTAAATAGTTGGTTAAGCTATTTCAGTAAGATTATATTTGAATCTTATGCCTACCTAATGTACCCACCCTTATAAAATATTTAAAAAATGTTTACTATACCCATACTGTACCTTATAGATAAATTATATAAAAGAGTTGGCTTTGATAATTAGAAGTAAACTATAGTTTACTTACATAAACTATATAAAAGAATTGGCTCTGATAATTGGAATGAGTATAGGCAGATTTTTTAAAATATTTGACCCATTAGGTAGGGTATGAGTATAGATACATTTTTTTCTAAAATTTTTTACCTATAAGGTAGGGTATGAGTATTGAACAAATTTTTTAAATATTTTACTTATAAGGTAGGGTATGAATATAGACAAAATTTTTAAAATATTTTATAAGACAGGGTACACTTATAGGTAGGCTTATGGTTCAAGTCCTCTTTTAATCTAAACTAGTCGTTTTTTGGCAAGTATCTTGAAATAGTTATGTAACTATATCAAGGTACTAAAGGATTCGTTTCCTTCTTGAATTATAGTAACAGTTTTGACTAATTTTCAGTTTTAAAAAGCTACTAAATTGCTGGTAGAAAGAAACTATAGTTTACTTCTAAATTTTTTAAATTTATAGGCTTCAAATTTATCATAGCCAATTCTTTCATATAAAGTTTACCTATAAGGAAAAATTGTTATCAGAATTTTTTTAGAATCAATAGTTAGAATTCGAAAAAAACGATATGGCTTGCCAAAGTGTTGCGGTTGGGGCACATCTCTCTCTCTCGGGGTTGGGTTGCCGATTGTTTGATGGTGGTGTGTTGTATATAGGATGAACGGGGGGGGGGTGTGAGGAGAAGGGGGGTAGGGGGCTTCCATATAGAAGTAGTGCGGGAAAGGCGGAGCCATTTGCGACGACCGTAGCAACGCAATATGGCCACCAGTTCGCGAGGGGCCGTGTTCGCAAGCACATCGAGCGCGTTCGCGTACGGTGTTTCCCCGGCGAACCGCCAGATGACACCACCACAGTTTTAAATAGTCGAAATTTAGCAGACAAAAACAAAAAAAGAAAAAATAGATCCGAACTTTATTTTTCTCCAACCATCATCATTATTCTACCTATATCTAATCATTCTTTCGTTACGAAAGTATTGTCACAATAGAGAAATATTCTCTTTTTAATCAACCCTCGTCCCACCCCCTCGTGAACTCGTGTTGCACAATTACTCCTCCGAAAAAGACTGCGAATTTTGTTGGAGGTCACCTAGAAACAAATGGGTCAGATTAAAATTTTCTATGTTGAAAATTCAGCGATGTTTTACTAGGTAGTGTGAGCGTGAGTGTGCCTTAAAGGAGGATTAAGTCTCTTTTTTCAGAAATAAGAGGTACATACAAAAAATAATACCTTTTCATGTGATGAGAAAGTAAAAATATAAGGGGAAAATCTAACCTTAGGTTATAAGATTATTCGTAGACCGTTAGGTGTAAGATGTAAGGTGGGGTAGAAATAAAGTTTTTAAAAGGTATGAAATATGGGTTTCTTTTTTTTTTAAAAAAAGTTTCGAAATAGGGAATAAAGTGTGTCTTATAATTGTATGTATGTGTCTGTGTTTTTTTGTGTAGATATTACGGGGGCAAGTTCACCGGACGAAGCGACTACTACAACGGTCACGACTGCGGACAGCCCACGTTCTCCATCGGATATTGCAGCGCTATCCAACGATCAGTCGGAGCATTATCAACATTATCAACAACGCTCCGCTGGCACTGCTGCTGTTCTCGTTGCAGAGGACAGTGGAGCCCCCTGTGAAATGCGGAGAACACCACCGCAAAACAAAGGTGAGAAAAAGTTTATACTTATTCTATATTATTTTTTTGCATTTCTTTCAAATTTTGTTTTTTTCAAATTCAATACTTAAAAATTAAAATCTTTTAATAATTATTTAAAATAAATGAAAATTTATATTTATGCGATAATTTAAAATAATTCGGCTATTCAATTTAACAAAGTAATGAAGGATCAGTTTCACAAACTTCGATTAAAAGTTAATCAATGATTAAATCCTTAACGGACTTCTGTATTTAAATGAATAAATTACATTTTTATTTGAAACATTTACAATTTAATTAAAATTATATTTATTTACTCTTGCTTACAACACATGTATTTATGTGATTACAAGGGAGTTACGCGAATTCAATAGAGCAGACAAAACTTTAATAAAAACATTTAAAAACTTTTTAATTGAAATTGGTTTCGTTGATGACAAAATATTTAACCATTTATTCATAGCAGGCAAATTATTACACTCACTGTCAACAATGGGAGGAGGTTTCGTTGATGACAAAATATTTAACCATTTATCGATATCAGGCAAATTATTACATTCACTGTCAAGAATATAGGAGCAAATAGATGCGTACAGACAGGACATGGAATTAGAATATGGAATATAGATTCCTCCAAGTAGCAAAAGGAATGAAAATTATATAATTAGTATTAGTATTAGATATAAGGTAAATGTCCCAATTTGTAAACTACTTAAATTTCTACTACACTTAATAGTGAAAAAATGCCTTTTATGTTTCTTTTTATAAAAATCTTTTTCTTGTAATGAGAAGATATATAAATTTTTAAAGCAAATATGACTTTAAATAAAGTTTTAATGTCAAAATAATAGTAAATTATTGTGTTTTTATGAAAACAATAATTAAAAACAATAATTAAATTGGTTAACGTACCAATTTGTGATACTTACATTTTGAATTGTTTCGCAAAAATAGAAAATTAGTTCAAATATAGAATCTTCTTAACTGCAAATGAATTCATACATATTCTTGATAGTGTATTAGGTATATATGTTTTTCAATATAGATATACATTCTATACTATAAAACATGGTTAATAATAGGTTCTTTTATCTTTTAAATGTTTTCAACCGCCGTCCCCTCCTCTACTCCTCATCATCACCACCTTCAACCATTTTCAATTTATACCTCTGTAGTTGCTACGTGACTAAGAATTAATGTTTTCTTTTCCTCGCGATATCGGTCCCGATAATACAAATTCGCCATGCCTTTAATTTACAGCACAGTACACATATATTATACGTTATACAATTATAGAAAAACCGAGGTCTGCAATCTTCAAAAGTCAAAATTTTCGAAACCTTCAAAGTTAAAGTAAAATGTATCCAAAGCGAAAAGCCTATAGAAAAACCAGTCTGCAATCGTTAAAATCTTAGAAACAAAGTAAAAAGTAGCCAAAAAGTGGAAAATGGTCTATTTTTAAATTTTAAGACTCTTAAAGTCATAACTTCAGGACTTAGGACTTAAAATCATATATTCTTAAGGTTAAAATTCAGTCGAAGATGGTTTTAGAAGTTCTGATTATAAACGGTTTTTAGCGAAAAGTGAACTGAAAGTAAGATTTCAAAAGATTTTAAAGATTAAAATATAAAATTTAACCCTAAAAAAAGTTGGAATTCGATTTTTAAGTTGTAAAATAATTAAATTATATGAGGCACAAGTTTGCAACGTTTTTATAAAATCGAACCGTTCTCATATAAAAACTAAGACTAAAAAATAAATCTTACATTCAATCCACCCCGTGCAGAAATTTTGACCGGGGCCATGGCACTTTGCCCGATCTGGCCGCCCTGTCGGGACCCGGTCGGGGCCATGGGATTTCCCCCGATCTTTTCGCTACCCAGGTAGAATTCCAATACTGACTGCATTTTATTATATTAAAGCTTGTTATTTGATTATTAAAGAATGGGGAGTATTTACTTCAATATTAATGATTATTATTAATATTTTTGTAGTAAATAAACTTTTATGAGTGTCATTAAAAATGTAAATAGTTATTAGAATTGCTTTTATTGGACTAAGTTTTTAAAAAAAATATTTTTCTTATTTTCTTTCATTAATTTAGACAGACTATCTTATTTAAATTAATAATTATTTATAATTATTATTATTGTTAATAATTATTTAAACCTATACTTTATGTAACATTATTAAGAATTATACACAAAACACTTAAAACTAAGACGGAAAAATATCGCACGCACGGGGGACCGAACCCTAGACCTCGAGGACGCAAGTCGAATACACATACCGCATAGCCACGCAAGCTTGGAAGCGACCTCGCTTAAACTTCCTTTTGAATCATGGGACCGTTATATACAGTGTTATCATAATAAATTGACTGTATCATATTTATTTATAGAAAAATTATTAAAAATGTATGTTATATATATATATATATATATATATATATATATATATATATATATATATATATAAATTAATATGTTTATCATAATAATATGGTAAAAATTGTTAATTTAATTATTTATTCTATATTATTTATAATTTAACTATTTTTTAAAATAATAAAAATTTTTTCATTATTAATAATTCACAATAATACTAAAAATTATTAATTAATAATAATTTATTTTTTTGCCTTAAACATGGAATTTCAATTTAAGTGTGAAAAACAATTAAGAGTTTTTAAGAGTTATAAATGTCAAAAATAATATGTTAATATTATAACCACAAAAAAATTTAACATTTTAGGCAATATTTTTGGTTATCACCATGATAACATCGACAAATGGTTCACCTTCGACAATTGGTGCGTTTGTCCTATTGTTTTAAATTAAAGGAGAATAAATTCTTAAGACATCCCTCGAGGACAATTTTTGAGTTTTTAATTGTTTATAATTTTTATTTTCAAATTTCAATCAAAGTTAACAAATTAACACAATTTTTTAAAAACGGACGTTTATTTTCTTATTCCGTTACTGCACATGCTCTAAATCAGTTCAAATTAATCCAATATTACCAGCAGACAATTAAAAACCCATAAAGTAATATATTTCAATTGTCATAAACAACATTAATTAACAAATAGTTAACTTATGATCCTGTCCAACAGAAAATTTTTGTTGCAAATTTTCTTTTTTACTTAGGTTCTTTTAAAGAATATATGTCTTTTTTGCTTATAATATAACTTATTTAAATATTTAATATTATATATCCGTGGTCTTTTAACATTATCTAAATAAAAAAGTAAACGTGAAAAAAAAATTTTTGGTGGAAAGGAACAAAAATTAACTATTTGTTAATTAATATTATTTGTAACCATTTAAATAAGTTATTTTTTAAACAAAAAGGACACATATTTTTAAAATGAACTTAAATTAAAAAGTAGACGTGAAAAAAAATTTTTTTGGTGGACAGGAGCATAAGTTACATAACTATTTGTTATTTAATATATTGTTTATAACAATTTAAATAAGTTATTTTTTAATCAAAAAGGACAAATATTCTTTAAATAGACTTAAATTAAAAAGAAAATGTGAAAAAAAAATTTTTAGTGGAATAGGAATCAATGTTAACTATTTGTTAATTAATATTGTTTATAACAATTTAAATAAGTTATTTTATAATCAAAAAGGGCAAATATTCTTTAAATGAACTTAAATTAAAAAGAAAAGGTAAAAAAAACATTTTTTAGTGGAAAGAAATCAAAGTTAACTATTTGTTAATTAATATTGTTTATAACAATTGATATAAATTACTTTCTGTTTTATTAATTATATGGTGGTCATATTGTATTAATTTGAACTGATTCAGATCATATGCAGCAACGGAATAAGAAAATAAGCCTCCTTTTTTGAAAAATTGTATTAATTTGTTAACTTTGATTGAAAATAAAAATTATAAACAATTAAGAACTAAAAAATTGACCTTAAGGGATGTCTTAAGAATTTATTCGCCTTTAATTTAAAATAAAGAATACTGAAACCGGTTAAGAATTGTAGGCTGTAGACAGTTTTGAACAGTAAATTGTAAAAAAAATCCCATTGTGCGCTGTTTGTAGATCCTTGGGCAAACCCGGTCTGGTCCTGGTCGGGGCCACGAAGTCGGGGCCAGATCATGAAATCCCGACCGGGGCCAGGGCGGTAATCGGGAACAAAAGTGGCGATTTCTGCACGGGACTTTTGACTAAAATTGTTTTAGAATAGAAATAGTTAATTTTAACTGAAACTTAAAAGTATTATTTTATATTCTAACATTGACTTAACTCATAGTTTTAAATTTATAAAAATAGACTGCTTTTCAATAATTTTAATTTTAAGATGTAAACGAATCTAGAGTTTGTTTTTTCTGTGTGTAAAGTAAAAAGTAAAGTCAAATTGAAAAGTAGAGCCTATATTTTCCAAAAAAACTATCTAAGTCATAACTTTAGGATTTTAAAATCGTACTCTCGAGGTTAATATCCAGTGAAAAATGGTTTTGAACTTCGTTCTTGTAAACGGTTTCAAACAAAAGGGGACTATAAGTAAAATTTCAAAAGGTTTTAAAGGTTAAAATTTCAAAAATTTTTAAAGGTTAAAATTAAAAATTTGAAGATTAAGAAGCTTGAAATTCGATTTTTAAGTTGCAATATTATAAAATATATTCTTTATAAACAATTATGTGAAATATTTTTCTTATTCTTAAAAATGGAAAGAAAGGTTTTTTTTGCTAAATTTAAAACATATTTTTTTCTAAACTTAGAAAACATTTTTTATAAAAGAAAATATTTTTTTTTATAAATGTAGAACACTTTTTTTCTAAAATTTATAAATATTGATTATTGAGTGTGAAAACGTTTACATTTTGAAACCAAAGTAAAAAGTATAGCTAAAGTGAAAAATGAAAAGTATCTTATTTGTAAATTCAAAAATATGGGTTAAATCATAACTTAGGACTTAAAATCATATACTCTTAAGGCTAAAATTCAGTCGAAAATGTTCTGAATGTACTTTTTGTAAACGATTTTA